TGTAGAATCAAATGAAACGATGATATTCGATGTGGTTCACGCGTCGCGTGGTACAGAGCGAACGAACAAAAAGGAGGCTCGAAATCTTCCAAAAGAATTCTGCGTCCTTCCGCGCGTTTCGATGATATTGCGTAAAGAGAGAGATCCGTTAGAATCCGCGAACCTCTTTTTTATTTTTTATTAATTCGTTTGTTCGCGTCGGGCCTCGTTTTCGTGCGTTTCGCGCCCTCGCCGCGTCGTCGAATGCATTCGAGACGCTTCCTCGATGCGCACTGACCCATTTCGTTCGAACGCCGCTGCGCAGCGTGTTGCGCGCGCAACAGCGCGGCTCGTCGTTCGAATAATCGCGCGTACCTCGCCCGTTCATCCCTTACATCGAGCGCGATCCCATCATCGGCTCGTTTCTTCGTCGTTCTTTGCATTCGGGACGGTTGATTCCTTAACGCTGGCTTGCATCAACGCCGATAAAAAAAAAACTTTTAAATAAATAAGACCCAGCAAAAATATTGGCAAGCAACGAGACGATGATGTCGCGTTTTCGAGACAGTACTTGATACGCGGAAGAACGGCGAGTCTTAGTTCTATATTAGCTCTTTTTTTTTACAATCTTCTTCCCCCCTTGCTTCCGACACAGAAGCGATAAGGGGGACGCACGCGAGTCGTTAGTGTTACATGATGAGCGGAGGTGATAAAACCGTTGTTATTTAATCCTAGCTTCTCTTGTAAATGCGGTGTGTTTCACTTAAAAATGACGCGGTCCTTTCCTTAATAACTATCGTACAGTTAATTATCGATAGACAGTTAAGTGATATCTTTTCCTTCCTCTTAGCTTTTTTTCCACTCTTTTTTTTTTATGATTTTGCAATTTTCCCCTTCCGATAAATTTAAAAACTTTCGTAACAATTAATTTATACTTAAGGTTCTGTTAATATTAATTATGGCACAATATAAATATTATATTTAAAGTCTTTTTGAAGACATAATAAAAATAAATTTAAGTAGTCTTTCTCCTATGCTCGACGTTATTTTTTTTTTTTCTATCGATTTCTCGTAATTATAGATCGTTCTTAAGCAACTTTTGTCTGTTTTCGATTCAAAGATGCGTTTTCTTACTTCTGTTCTCTTTTTTTTATTTCCCCCATTATACCCTCGCGATTTCGCTTCACTTTTAATACCCTTTTTGAAAAACAATAAGAATTTCGTTTTTCTTCCAAACGAAACCGAAGAGTGTTTGTACCCAAAATAATATATCCGCAACGCTTTCTCGGACTTTCGTAATATCCAGCTTTTTTCGAACTATTCGATACCTTTTACGAGATCGTTGGCGTAGTAAATGCACAGTGGAACGGTTCTGTTTCTATCAGAAGGTAAACGTTTATTAATCGAAGAGCAATAAACTTGTATCCCCCATCTTGAACGAAATATTTCTCTTTTCACTAAAAGTACTCGCTCACGGTTGGACACCGCTCGAAAGTCCGAGAAGCTTTCACAATTTCCCGATGCTCTTTGGTAAGACAATATCACATGATCAAGAAGTTAAACCAATCGAAAAAAAAAACAATCTAATCAGTCGATTTCTCCCTAAATGTAGGGATGTTTTTTTTTTTTTAAGTCTGGAAACTAGTTAAAAAATAAATTTGAGTCTTTGATTAAACGCGTTAACGTTTAGAAATTATAAAAATCAGCCTTCTCGAAAGTAAATTCGCGTATCAAAGTATTTCGTCACAGCGCCAGGAAATTAGCTTGAGCACTTGCGAGAAATGCCGGCTCAAGTGCGATTACGAGTCGTTAATTAAACAAGAAAAGAAAAAGAATGTTAACCAACGTAAAACCTCGATAAACGTTCACGTATTAAAGTCCAACGACGGCTCTAACGGGTCAAACGGAAGCTAGAATCTACGTGTATGATTGTTTGTAGAAAAATCCGTCGAACGTGCGCGGGCCACGCGATTAACGCTGCGTCTCGTTCGTGGCGTTCGCGTACGCGTTCGCGCGAATAATCCTTTACAATTGGATACGGTTATTTAGTATTACAGTCGGGGCTTACAGTATAAAAAGTCTGCGCACAAGAAAAGTCGGCCACTTGGTATCGTCGTTGCGATTATACACGATCGACAAGAAAAAAGGAAGTACGCGATACAAACAGCGTTATTCTCGAGACAACAATAACCCACATATCGTTCACACAGAGACGCCCAGGGTTTTTTAACGTCCAGTTCATACGGATTGCATTCCATTGCCGATACAGTATATAATGCCTATGCAACTACCAGTTTACGATGATATATCGTTTACCTCTGTTAATTCACACGTCAGTCACACTCTCTCGTCCTCTTCTTACGTTTCTTCCTTGTAATAGCATACGAGACAAAAATCCATGCATTAAAGTTCGAAAAAAGATTCATCGATAATATTCTGTATAATAATATTCGCTTTAAATTCTAGAACGATTAGTAGTAGTAATAATGTTGGTAATATTTCGTTTCGCGATAGAAGATGCAAACGCGACGCCTAACTACATCTTTTTTTTATTTTCATCACGTGTAAACAGTAAAAGACCTAAAGTTCCTTGTTTTTTTTTTTTAGTTTGAAGACGTTGGCACATTGGAATAGATTTTGTGTGTGTGTGTGTGTGTGTGTATATGTGTATCATTTTTTTTCCGTTTTTTTTTAAGTTTTTTTTTTTATACTTTTTTGTAATTTTCGATTCAACACCGTATGACAGTGTACAAATAGGGTCGAGTACCCTGAAGAGATATGTTTATATATCCAAACACTGAGCTTTTGTCCCTCGATCCGTGGCGACGGCTGATCTCGCGAGAAATACGCGCCCGTTTCCGCGCATCGTCGTCGAGAATATCCTCGACGTTATTCGCTTTGGTCTCGCTTTTTAAAAACAAAAAAAAAAACAAAAAACCCAGAAAACTAAAGAAAGAAATAAAATAGTCGCAACAGCAGTCAAATTCGCTTTGGTATCGTACCGATTATTACGTTAATCCTGAGTCTCGGGACTCGTCATTGTTTTTCTCGCGGAGATTTTCCCGCCAAAATTTTTCCACGATGCGCGCCGTTCAGTTCTTCGCTCGTTTCTCCGGATCGTCGAACGTCGACTACACCAAAATGGATCAGCGGTCGCCCATGATGGATCGCGAGACCTTCGACAACATCCGATTCAATCTTCTCGGCTTAAAAGAGTCTCGTCTCGGCTTTCTTGGCTTTTTTTTTTACAATTAACTTACACAACACCGAACATCGACCTAATTCCGTATACTTTTTCTGTTTTCTTCGTCATATACCTCTAATATTTTTCGTTCCAGTATACCAAACTGAAGGACATCACAGAATTTCCCGATATTAATTAACCAATTAATTTCCTTTCGCTATATACACGATCAGCATGCACGCCGGCAATCATAATGTGGAACCGTTCGCGAGACTATTTTTTATATTTCCTTTAATCCCCTACAATCCCTCCCCCAACCCGTTTGCCGCGTTCCCTGTCCCCCTTTCATTTTGTAGCGCCGAATATATCGTATCTTTGATGCTTCTTCGCTTTCGACATAGAGATATATATGTATATATCACAGAATTATAAAAGGTTTCCAAAATGACTAGGATAATTTTCACTAACGAATTCTATCTTCAGCTTTTCCCGAGTCGAAAAAGAAATTTTCGAAAAGCAAAGATGTACACGCGCAATGGTGCCCCTCCCCCATTTTTTTCCGCGGAAGAAACGTTTCTCGTATTCTTTGCTATCTCCACATTATGCTTTGGCCGGTCGTGGAAAAGACATTTTTTTTTTTTTATTATTATTCATTTTATCTCTACGAATGTATACGCAATATTTTAAAAACTCCCGCCATCGGAAGACACCTAAATCTAAAATCGTATAATTTTTTCTCTCTCTCTCTCTCACGGTATACTTTTTCATTCTCGCGAAGATATGTTTTGGAAAACTTCTTCTCCCGTTCTAGTTTATCCGCGTTTCCCTCTCTACTCGTTTCCGTTTCTCTTCCAATCTCTGTGCTAACGCCGTCGAAACCCCGAGAAGACGAGCGCGACTCACTCAACTCCCCCATTTTTAAATACTTTTTTCCCCCATTTTTTCCATTATTCCCCGCTTAGTACGGACTCTAAGAATTAGACGTAGACATAATTTGTTTTATTCATTTTTTTTTCCCCTCAAATAATTTGTACTTGCTCGTTAGTTATAATGGCATTTCCTTTGTTTCATTATCTCTTTTTTTTTTTTTCTTTTGTTGCTTCTTTGTAATCCCCTTACGATAAAACATCAACTTTGTTTAACGCTGAGCTCTAAACCTGAATATGTTGCGCGACGAATAACTTTTAGGGTGTTTCTCTTCACCTTGTACGATCGTAAATATGGATGTATCCAAGATTTAAAAGAACAGGGCAGTGCTCGACGGTTCTCGCACGAATCGTTCCCCGTCCCGATCGGTTTCCATTAGCCTGATCGGGTTGTCTCTCTGTCGTTTATCAATTCTATTTCTTGCCACGAAACGAAGAGAAGACGAAAAATGATCGAGACGGAAAGAAAAGAAATCCGTGCCGTTTCAAGACGAATCCAAATTCTACTTTACCACTTACTCGTAATATTGCACATTCGCCAACGAGACGCGTTAATTAATAGCCGTATTCTATTTAATCGCGTTGCATTCGATTCGTAAATGAAAATGGAGGACGCTTTTCACTGCCCTGCTTTGCCGTTGTCTATCTACGTCGAACTACTTTGTTTCTTTTGCTTTCTCACTCTCATTCCATCTTTATCCCCCACTTATAAAACCTGAACAAGAGAATATCATCGTTATCAATTATCGTACGAATATAATATATATATATATATATATAATATATATATGTATATATGTATGTATATATATATATGTATATATATATGTATATATGTATGTATATATATATGTACAGCTCAAAATATTACTTTTAAAGAGTTAAAAATATAGTCTGTGTAATTTGCGCGCACGACGGACCTGTACACGTGTAAAAGCCCATATAACTTCTACTTGCACTTTTCCACGCTCCTCCTCCCCCTTCCTACTCTCATCGTCTTTCGGTCTGCCTCGATACATCCAAAACCTCGTCCCTTCCGTCCCTTTCCTCTCTTTCGGTTTCCAAAAATTTGAGCACGTATTCCGCAGACTATTGTAATTGAATGTCGCTTAGGCCTAAGATCCTCGGATCCTCGCGATCCACGATCGCCTATCGGTTCCAATTACCGCGATGACACACACGATTACGTATCCCTTCACACCCGTGTTTCTCTCCGACCTCTGCACTCGCGTTCCGTTCCCCCGCGAGCGGGGACGCGATTCCGCGAGTGACCCGCGCGTGACCGACGTCCTCGCGACCCCCTCGTCGAATGTCTCGAAACAACGCGCCTCGAGACCTTGTTTAAAATCGGTACCTTAAATGGAATGTATTCTTCGACCATCGAGCGAACGTTTATGGATCGCGTCCCGGTCGATTACTCCCTCCTTTCCTCTTTGGATTTGATCGCAGTCTTGAGACGAGGAGGACCGCGAAACGAGGGCTGCGACGGCGGCGGGAACGCGTCCCCGCGACGGAGGAACGCCGATCTGTCGTCGACGCGAGGAACCGGATGGAAACGCGAACGCGTCGCCGTGGATGGCGTCGCATAAGAGAGTCCGGGGACGGGTCGATCTTAAGACGGTCCCGACATTTTCATTGCGGCTGCTGCTGCATCTGGGTCTGGTGCATGCTGCCTAGTACGTTCTTTATCGACGTGGTCTTGAGCAGCCTCTTCAGCATGCCGCTCGAGCCGCGATGCTGGAGGCTCCTGTGCGTCGTGAGCGAGTTCTTGGTGCGGTACCTGCGGTTGCAAAACTCGCAAACGTGCAGGGTGTCCGATTTCTCGTGCTTGTCCTGGAAATGACGCTTCAGGGAGTAGTAGCATGAGAAGTTGCGACGGCAGTACGGGCATTCCTGAGGCTCGTTTATGCCGCCCGCCGTTGGCGGCGGCATCCGGTACATGGCAGAGGGAGGCGTCGATGCTGGATGCATCCCGTTGCCCGTACCTGAAAATCGTCCCTCTGTTAGTCAAATTATTTACGACACCTCGAATCTCCGATTCTCCCAAGGAGGACCTCCCGCGCCTGTGGGGGGCCGTCAATTTTATCCAAACTTTTTCTGGCGGTTCTAGAGACACGTATATCCCAGCTTTTTCGTCAATGCTCATTGTTTTTAAAGATATTTAATATTTTATTTTCAGATTCGGATTGTATGGTTTATTTTGAAAGTGGTGTACAAATAATTCAGTGTAAATTTTTTATTTGCAACGAGTTAATATTTAATGCTTTGTTCGATTTAAAATTGACCGGTATAAGAAATTGCTTAGCTACTGATTATGAAAATGGTGTAAGTCCAATTTTCTTTATAGACTGCTGGCTACATTTGGTTTATTTCACCGTTTTAGGTTACTTATTTTATGGTTGAAAGTATGTTGGATGAAGTTTTGTAAAAGTGCACCATATACTATTTTATATAAAAGATAAATGTAGGACACAGAATTTAAGAGTTGGGATTTATCACCTACATGGCTGGGAAGACCGCCAAAATTTAAAAAAATCACCCTGGCCCCTTTAGCCTATTACATATGAAAAATATAAGGATACGGAGCAGTTGTTACCTTATATGCCTCCTGTGCATCATGAGATTTTATGTCAACTTTAACAATATATCAAAATAATTAACGTTCAAAATAAAAAATACTACTTCTATTTTACTTCTTGTTATAAAGAAAATTGGATTAATACGAAATATATTTTAAGTGATATTTAATTTTTCATAACAGAAATTAAATGACCTTTACAACTGACTAATTATGAAAGTGGTGTAAGTCCATTTGCAGCTCGTAAATATATATTATTTTAGTTAAATACGTTTCGTTTAGTTATTAGATAAACAAAAATACCAAAAAAAAATGAAAAAATGGATAATTTTTCATCTCTAACGAGATTCAAAACTTCGACTTTTGAGAATAAGAATCCATGTACTAACGTAACTGTTACGATCCCCTGACGAAACTACATACAATCCGAATCTAAAAATGAAATATTAAATATCTTTATAAATAATAAGCATTGGGCAAAACAGCTCAAACACGTGTCTACATATATTTGTTCTAAAATCACCAGAAAAAGTTTGAATAAATTTGACGACCCCACAGATGCTAGATCTCCTTGTCAGAGTCGACCAAAATCTGACCACGATTACGAAGGGTTGCGATCGAAAAGTAACTTTGGTAAAAATTGTCAGATCTGATCAGATTTTGCCCGACTCTGGGTCCCATAGGTTCGCTAAAGTTCCAATGTATGGTAAACGAAAGGATCGATTTGGCTGCGAGAAGGCATCTCCAGAAACTCGAAACAGCAAGATACGTATTTAAGTCGATCCTTTCGTGTACCAAAACAGTCGTTCGATTGGGGTTCGATCTTTCTCAATCGTCCTAGATGGGAAGTAAAAGGAAAGGATGAAGAACACGCGTTAAACCAGCCTGTCGGACATTTCGATGTCGGAACATCCGCTGTAGTCCTGGACCAGCGATAGGCCGGAAGCTGGAACGTTCGATCTCGTTCCTCGTTTCGTTCTCGAAACGACCTCGGCCCCAGTGTAACGCAACTCTACCGTCTGTCACGGGATCGATCAAGGATTAGCACAGGTTGACTCTGTTCCATCGCGCGAGTAGCGAGGTATCGTTAATTAAACCGAGTGGTAATTAGTCGAGTGAGCAGAGACGAAGAGGACCAAAACCACCATGCCAGACGCGTCGCGAGTCGAGAACCAGTTAGGTGTGTGTGCTTTTCGGATATCGTAACCTCCCGGAATATTAACTAGCCACGCAAAAACAAGAAAAAAAATATGTTACTCGACGCTTCGGAAGTGCAAGGCTAATTTCTATATTCATGCATGAAAGAAGCGATTACGCGGGTTTCGTGTGCGTGCAAAAGAATACAACCCGGTCATGCTTGCGCGATCAGCGAAAGAGAAAAGGTATCGATACGCGACAGTTTTCGAAATTAATGTTAGCAAGAGAATAAAATTAATAGAATTAACAAAAGGTAAACCAGTTTAGAAAAGAGAAATTTTTGTCAAAAGTCTCGAACCGATCGACGGATTCGTCGACCATCGATCCGCCGTTCTCGAAGGCATTCCGTGTTAGGCGAGTATCGAAGCTGCAAAACGAGCATCAAAACTACGATACACAACAACATGCACACAACATCGAACATCGAACATCGAAAAAACCACAACAAATTAAAAAAAAAAAAAAAAAAGAAAAGGAGACCAATGGAGGGAAAAGAAAAGCGAAACTATGTTAAAAAAAAAAAGAACAATGCACAGGGTGTTTGCCACGAAACGTATACAAAAAAAAAAAAAAAATCGTTGGTGGGAAAAGGTGGGGGTGTTAGTAGGAAAAACTTGAAGCGTAATCGTAAACCCTGTACGACGAGATCCGAAATCTCCAGACCTGTTTGCAAATTCGTGTTTGCGATAATGCTCGGATAACTGCATCGAAATGAAAAAACCCTCGGTATAAAAATGTTTTGATTCGTATCAATGGCGGCGAAATTTGAAGGAACAAGAAATTTGGTAAAATCGGTGCAGTTGTGGCGAGCATTACCGGTTAATCGAGCGTTAACGATCTTTCCCGATCACCGATCAACGAACGAGGCGGTCGGATTCCCGCGTCTTCGGCGCGGCGCGGCGTCGCGTCGGTGCGGCGAAGGACGACCCCGACGCGTCGATTCCGAGTCATCGACAGGGGGTATGGTATTATAACGGAGCTGCGAATACCGGAAGAATTCGATCGGCGACCGTACGGTACCGAAGAGAACGAAGGACGACTGGAGGAGAGGAAAGAAAAGCAGTTTCGCGCGGAGGGAGGACGGAGGAATGAACTTGACGCTGGGACGAAAGCTCGAACCGCACGAAGAAGACGCAGAAGAAGAAGAAGAAGAAGAAGAAGAAGAAGAAGAATAAGGGTCGATCCACGTGGGAGTTGAGACCGGTTTCTCTGGCATGCACTCACTTATGGAGGGGACAGGGGGAGTACCGGAAAAAGGAAGAGGGAACGAACTGTCGACGAGGAGCCGAGGTCGTTGCGAACCAACGATTATGCGATTGTGACCTACGCGAGCGCACCAATGTGGTTAAGAGACAGACGGTCGAGTAAAGGGGGATAACGGATAAGTAACGGGGGGAATAGAGGACGGGACCCGGACTTTTAAGGAGGATCGAATCAAGAAGATAGAAAAGACGAGAAAGCACACTTTTTGAAAAAGTGCGCGGCGTTGACAGATACGTATCAGCCCTACCTTATCTAAACCTTCAAAAGAACTTAATGTCAATGTCGCCGGGTCTGCTCTTATGATAGGTATATATATGGGTCATCAGGGAGTTACGCGAGCAGTACACCCGCTCGCAGATGACGCATCTGTACTCCTCCTGTCGCTCGGCGTGCTTGTCGGCAACGTGGCGTTTCAGGGACGCTTTGCTGCATAGCACCTTGTTGCACAGCTGGCAGGTGAACAGCTTCTTCGCTGACTGGGTGTTCAGAGAGTTCAAGGTCATAGAGGTGAGCACTGAAACACAACAATGCACCTCATGCAGCTGCAACCCCCACACTTATACCCTACGGCCGTGTCAAAGGGTCACCACGCAAACCGATAAAACTTCTTTCTCTGTGTGTTCGCGGATTCTCTGCTTTCTCTTCTCCTCTTTTCCCCATTAGTGTCGTTTACGCTCTCTCTTTGCTCGTGCTCGTACTATCCCGGACGCGAACGCTCGCGACAGGTCTGACGCAACTAATGCACAGTTTAATTTCCTCGGGCTTCGAAAAGACGCCGCTACAAAAACAATCGTACAATATTGAAAATTTTACTTTCAATCTGAGATGGGTTGCTCGGATAAATCAGAGTACTTTTTATTTTTTATGCAATATAATTCGTTAGTAAGTGAAATAAATGATCTAGAAGAGAGGAAGCAGAGTCGTTCTTCTCATGAAAATTTACCAAGAGTGTATGCATCGCGTTTAATGAAACACAAACGAAAGTTAAAAGTAATCTGATTTACGTTTTGGCAAATTGCAAAGGGTTGAACGTTCGAAGCCGCGCGATCGCTGAAACGTTTTCCTCGAGTGGGGTCTCTTCTTTAGAAATTATTCGCCCGAGCAACTAATAGAGACGCGCGGCCATCTTCCGCGGTACTCGCGGTTCCGAAAGACGGCGAGAACGATATATTCGTGCAGCGGTGCCGGTTTCTTTTTTTTTCTTTTTGTGGGAAGCACACGACGATTATTTCATTGAAACGCGACGAGATTGAGCACGGCCGCGGATTCGAATGGGGACAAAAAGAAATCGGAAAAAAGGGGTAAGGAGAAGCGCGGCGGGGCGTATTCGACAAACGAAGAATACAGGGGGGTTAGACCCGTTGGAAACTCTTCCGACGACGTTACGAGACGCCTGGTCGCCTTTCGGGGTAGCGAAGTAAGAACTTTCAATGCCAGTCTTTTCTTCGGGCCGCGTAACCAAAGGCTCGAAAAGGGTTAAGACGCATGTACGCGCGTGCAACCATACACGGGGGAACGGAGTAGAATGGCTCCCGTGCATATCGCTGATATAAGCCGGTGTGCTGCGCGTGTGACTTCTGTGCATTCACGGGCACCACGCAATTCAAGACCCGAAGAGATGGCCGAGAACGAGAAAAAGAACGAGAAAAAGAAAGGGAAAACTAAGGGTCGCGGATGAAGAACGAAGCATGGACACGGAAACGCGGCGCGGTTCATTTGTAATGGACGGCGTGCTCGTTAATTAAAAAAAAAAAAGATCCGGTCAGACGTTGGCGTTCTCCGTCACTAAAGTCCCCCGTTATGCTACCCCCACACGTATATGTCTGCGTACACATGCGTGCGCGTGCACGCATAATGCCGTATCTGCCTCTTTTCTTCGTTCTTTAGCCATCGAACGCGCACAACCCTTCGAAATGCCTTTCCCGTGCGAAAAATAAACTCTTTATCCAATTTCTCGAGTTGCTTCTCGTTAAACTCCGGGCCGAAAGAAACTGTGAAAAACCAGCCAACACCTCGCTGATGAGGTCGGTCGACTGGATTTCTGATAGAATATCGTGAATATTCCTTGTACACGCGTACACGACGCACATACGCTTGCACGTTGCTCGCTACCGAGCAATAGAGGGGAATGGAATAATAGGGGGAAGGTTCAACGTGGATAAAAACAGACCAGGTATGCACAAAAACTGCGCGCTCGTTTCCGACGATAAACACTTTACCAGTCACTCTCAGTACGCGCATACGTACACGTATCGAACGTATGCTTCGTTAGACTCGTAACAAAACGTGGGGGGATGTCAAAAGAAATATTAAAAATAAAACCAGACGAGAAATAAAGGACGACGACGAGAAGGAAACACTGAGCATTCTGGGTGACACTTAAAGCATGCAATTCGAAGTAAACGTAATAGTAATGCGTGAGCGGCGTGGCGGCTTAACCCTTTCGCTGCTTAATCAAATTATACGGTTTAAAATTTAAAAAACAGACATTTGAAAATTTCTTCTTCGTAACCGTCGATGGTACAATAAACTGTCTCTCTATCGAATGCAGTAATTTTTTACTAGAACCTGGTCAAACTGTTATATTTTTTACTGAGAATTGAAAATGAATTTTTAATCCACTGGACAAGCGAGTAGCTTAAAATAATTGAAAACATTACTGTACATTTTAAAGAGCCAAGATATTTTCGAGTCCAAACATTTAATCCAGCACCGGTGGCGGTACTTAACAGCGAAAGGGTTAATCTGTTCTCCCGTTTATCCTGGCCGCGAATGGCCCTCTCGAACGTGATCGAGAACGCGTGGTCCTTTGGCTCCCAAGGGCGCCTCGTTATCTCTCCTGAATTTTCTTTACTCTGTTCCGGTTCGTATCGCTCTTTGCCTTCCGAGCATCCAAGTATCGCGGTCGCGTGCACCTGTTCCACCTCCGAGAACCCTTTTTACGACCGTCGTGTCCGCGGCCTCCTGGTTTCTGAATCGTTCTTACTTCGTGCTCCGCCGCGACCACGCGTATTCAAAGCGAAGGCCGTTTTGGTTACCGTTCCGCCGTGTAGAGAGTGCGCCCGCCGATGGAAATGCGAACGTACACACACGGAACAATGGCTGCGGATCGTTACACGATTTATTGAATGATCGCCCCGTCGTCCACGGACGATGGAATTTCGATCCGTGTCCGCTTTCCATTGACGACACGGATCCTCCGTTGTCCCGCGTGTAAACTTACCTGCCGGCTGAAAGAAAGAAGCGTGTGGCGCGTGGGGTAACGAATTACCTGAGGTGCAAAACGGTAATCACATCGGTTTCTCAATCTTTTTTACCATTTTTTTTTTTTCATCGAGGATGTGATAGGTGACTAAAAATACAGAAAGAAAGAAAAAACGAAGGAATACAAGCGAGTTATTAAACCAAATAGTACATTTCATATTACATATATATATATGTATATATATATATATATGTATGTGTGTGTGTATGTATATATATATATAAAAAGGTGAAAATATATTAAGATGCATTTGACATTGCTTAAAAATAAAAATAATAATAACTATAATAATATAATAATAATAATAATAATATTAATAATAGTCGTCAATAAATATATATTATAACCAGAACACCTTGGCAGATAACAAATAATAAGTAAGCACGGTAACGCTCGACATACTCGCTTAAAAGATGACACGATTTGTACCCGAAACGGAGTCGTTACCGGGAAGAATTCAGACTTTTTTTGTTTTTTTTTTTTTAATGTTTCTCGGACGTTTCGAGATGTTTCGAGCCAATGGCACCGGTTTTCCCTGTTTATTTCTTTTTTCCATACAATTTTACATATCTCACGAATTTTGAATAAGCTCGTTTTTTTGTTTTTTTGTTTTTTTTTTTCTTTTGTATCTATCAGTGCTTCGCTGCTTTCTTTGCTCTCCTGCTCGGTCTCTCACTCTTTCTTTCTCTCTCTCTCTCTCTCTCTCTCTTTCTCTCTTTCTTTCTCTCTATCTTTCTCTCTCTCTCTCCCCCCTCCCTCTCTAACTCGTGAATACAAAATAATTCTATGCAACGGTAATCGCGATTTGCTTTCGCACAGGTAACCATTATCGTCGATGGTATGTCTGCTTAGTATCCGTGGGTGATTGCTAATTTAACTCTATATCGTAGGGTAGTTAAACGGAATTGCGGCTTACTTTATTATTTAAGATAGATGTTGTACGAAACTGCTGCTCCCCTTCCCGTCCGTACACGTGAATACGTACTCGCGTCAAGAGCAGCAAACAAAAAGGTAAAAGTAACTCAAAGAAATAAAGAACAACGTAAGATCCTATCGTCCCTATTTGTCGTTAAGTCTACGGATTAATAATTACGTGAAACAAACAAAAATAAAAAAAAAAAGAGAAGAAAGAAAAAAAATATGAAGATTCTAGGACTTGTGCGTCCGTGCGTGTGTGTGTAACTATGCGTACAAACGTACCTCTTACCCATGACCATAAAATTAAACAGTGGTTAAATCTGCAATCTGTGCGCTAAAAAGCCTATCGTGTAAACAAAAAAAAAGGGGAAAAAAAAGAAACGTAAAAAAAAAAACAAAAACGAGAAGCGAACGAAGGAAACGTGGATATGTCAGATAGTATAAAAAAAAAAACGATTCACAAAACGTTTTGCCGTGTTCGACGAATGAACCTCACTGCGTGTTGCAAAATATAAAATTTAATATGCGTTCGTCAATAATCATTCTGACCCTCTTCTTTACTTTCCCAGTTGATTCGAACTCCTGCGGTGCCCTGCCGAATCTAATCGCGTTCGCATGCTTTCCTCTACCCGTGTTAACTTAGAAATTAGATACTTTTAATTAACATCGTTTGGTAACATCAGTCAAGAAACGTTTAAAACATCAGTCCAATGTGTAGACTAATTCGAACAATTAAAAAGTAGAAAAAAAAAAAGAAAAAAAATTAAGATAAATCAGTCCCAATTCAGTCTGACAACCAAATCGTGTCGCGGATGGCGGCGGCCAACTGTAATTGCAATCAGGTACGCGTCTCGAGCCTTTTCTCTTAGGTGTCGTTTGCTCTCTCCGTTTTCGGTCGAACGTTTCATTTTAATTTCACGCTTCGATCCTCTCTCTCCCTCTCTCTCTTCCTTTCTCTCTTTTTCTTCTTCGATGAAAATGGCGTTGAGCACGCGACCAACCGCGACACGTTCAATTCAACGATTCAGTCTTTCAAAGTTCGACAACGCCTTCGAACAGATTTCTTTTGCACTGGCCAATCGTAAATCAATAAGGAAGCACCTTCGCTCTCCTTGTCTTTGCGACCGAATTTCGCAAGGCCAACTACAGAGCGCGAATTCCGAGAACGGCGTGACGCGTCGGCTTATAACTCCAACGAGCCGTCGACAATAATTATAAATTATCTTTAAGAAAAAAGGAAAAAAAAAAAAAAAAAAAAACCCCGCGGCTTCGCGAGATCGCGTAATTTCATTAACGCATTAACAAAGAGCGAAATTAATAGTAACATATATAAAAAGAAGAAAAAAAAAAAAGAAGAAACGAACGTCAAAACAAATAAAAAGAAAATACTCGAATAAACCTCTACTAATATATAATTTGCAGTTAAATATTCATTCAATTTATATTAATTTCATTAATAATTTATTATTCTCATAATATAGCGCCGACCGCGGATCGGAGGGCGAATATATATTCCGCAATTAATATTTGGCCATTTTTACAGTAGTCACAAATCAATTTCTTTGAATAAACCTACTAGTTTAAATATTATCAATATCAGTTCTTTCTCCAGTCCTGACTACTATAAAATTGTGTTCGTTACTCTCTATCTCTCTCTCTCTCTCTCACTCTGCCTTTTTCTCCCTCTTTCGTAATTTAAAGCTTCGTTCTTCTTCGTTTCCTCTTTCCAACCGAACAAAGAAACACCACACTCTTTCCCGACATCGTTCCTTTTATCCCCCACTCATTTCTTTATTTGCATAATAATGTTCGGCGTCGGGCGTACTTTCGAAATGCTAAATAAAAATCTGCTAAACGATCTCTTTCTCTCTCTCTCTCTCTCTTTCTCTCCCTCTCTATCTTTCTCTCTCTCTCTCTCTGTCAATCCTTTTCCTATCGATCGAAACAACGTTCGCGGAGAAAATCCTCTTCGAAAATACGAGCGACGCGGATCACTTGAAACGGAATATAACCTAATTTAAATTATCATAGCCTATCTAACGATGCACAAGTGTGTTTTTGAGTCGACTTGCTCCGTGTTCGTCGATAAATATCGTATCGAGCTGCTCGTGTCAGTCCTGTGTGTGTGTTGTACGCTCTGCGGCGTGTGCGTGTGTACGTGTGTCTGTGTATGCCTGGCTGAGTTCACCGTTTGTACAATGACGCACAGTGTGTGCTATCCCCGGTACGCTGTAAAATATATATCGTATGTGTCGTCTATGTGTGCTCTGCGAATTACTTTGCGAATCGATCTTCTACGAATGTCGACGCACGACGGGACCTAGTCTGTCTATATGTTTATCGTTTCGGGGACCTTCGAAGTCTTCCTGACGCGCGCCATTTTGTTCGACAGTGGTCCTGGTTTTAGCGTCCCGGAATTTTCCCCGCTTAGAATGATCGGAAATTGGGACCTCTCGGAGCTTTCCACGCGATCGAGTGAGAATTTTTTAGCAACAGACGAAACACGTGTCCCTCCTTTTGAACTTGATAAAAAAAGGGGACACACGTTCCAAGACATTTCGTGCAACGTCCTAAAGCGAGGACCACTGCGTTATATCGCAAGCTGCTGGTAAGTTGCCACAAGAAACGGGAGTTTTATCGGTTGGTAACGGATCAGACACGCCTAGTCGCTTCTGTTTGTTAGCTTGGACCGGTCGCGCGTATTCCCTCTGTGCCAACTCGCCAGTAACGCGCGATACTTTTCCCTGGGACGCGACGCGAACGAAAAGCCTGAACGGAAAAAAGGATCTCGCGATCGTCAGGAAGTCCTCGCGTGGTTGCTTATCAAAGTTCTACTAAAATATAGGTATATGCTATGTAGTCGGTTATATGCATTATATGGCTATTATCGTTTAGTATATAAGTAACCTGTCAGTGTTAATGGACCGTGTTTCCTCTTCTATCGCCCCTTGCCCCTTTTCGAACACGTTTTAATTCGCGACGCGGTTTCCGTCGCGTTGACAAACTCTTCGCCGTGAAACGGACGTAGTCTTGGTAACGCGCGCGCGAGCGCGGCAGAAAAAAGAAAATTGAAAAGCCGCGAAGAAAGTATAGACGGCGTGTGGTTACGTACGCGCGGAGAGGCGGCGAAGAATGGAAGTGTATGGAAATGAACGCGCCAAGGCCAAATCGTGTCGAGGGTTGAAACGCGCCTTCCTTCCTCTGCTGTTCTCACGCTTGAGTATTTCTGACGGACTTTCAGTGACAACGACGGTACGAAACAGAACGATCGGTGGTGGAAACGGACGAATTAGAAAGTAAAAAGAAAAAAAAATTATACGTAAAGAAACGAAAACACGAACGAGCGGTTATCACGCACGGCGATGAGGAAGGTGTATAGATAGATCATTCGATAATAGTAAACAGAGATGCAAGTGCAGGTCAGAGTTCCCCGGAGAATGTATCCCGTAAAATCGGTATCGTTTCCTTGTTAAACGTTATAGTACGAACAGAACTTTTTGTACTATAAGGGCTGGGAAAAAAAATCGATCGATCGCGCACATTTCCCCTAACGTGGTCCAGTGAAACATCCCTGTGCATCTCGTTCGTACGTTAATAATAGCGATAGTAATAATAAAAAATAATAATAAGATAAGGTACTTTACGTAAAGCCCGGTATATACCAATAAATGAATATGTGTCTGTGTGCAAGGTACCCCGCTAAAGCATTTAATATGGAATGAATATATTAAGATAAAATATATATGTATATATTATATTATATTATATCAATGTGTACGTCCTTTCCCGCGATCCGTCGCGAAACGACAACCATAATCGTCACGGAGGAACCGTCGGGTTTCCCTCCGGCGCCGCGGCTCTACCCTGACTTCTTTTGACCTAACTTTTTGTAACTTTTTTGTTATTTACTTTTTACAAGCGCGTCGCCGCGTCACCGATCGTTGTCGATCCGCGACGGACAGAGGTTCCCCATTTTGCTTCTCCCGCGCGTACTTTTCAGCCCCGTTTCATCCGAAATTCGCCCCCCTCCCCCACCCACCCTCCCGTACCCCCCATCGAACATCGAAACAATTAAAAATTCTCGAGTCTTCTGTTAATCAATATTCGTTTTACAGTCTTTTCGAAACGTTTCGGACGTTTCCGCCTAAAGTTAGTTGGACGATGGTGTCTCCGACACCTGGAAGTATTCGTTTCCTTTCATTTCCTTTCTTTCGTCGAAATACGTAAATCTAACTACCGTGTATAGCCTGCGGTTAAGCCGTGTGTCCTATCGATACGCGACTGGATCGACCGGACGCGTCTCGTACGCGATTCGACTCGAGAGGACGTGTTTCGTGCGAACAAAAATCGTGGCTGCAAGATATTCGACGATTCGCGATCCCTCGACGCGACGACGATCACGGACGAGCAACATTTTCATCCGTACGATGATCCCCAACGACGTACAAACGACAAGCTTTCGCCCGTTACTCCGTTCGACGGAAATCTCGATTCGACATCGAACAAAAATTTCCGCCGAACGAATCTTGTTCGTCGACTACGAGACTGGGCCGGAAAGTCTTCGTGGAAATAAATTTACGTGCTACAAGAAGAATTTTGAAAAAGTAAAACAAAACGTGACACGTGTTATGACAACGGAGACAGACGAACGTGTTACTTTCCATAACACGTGTGGGTCAAGGCTGAATTTTTTGTTAAAATTTTAGATTAAGCTCTCGATGAGAATATTTGAGAGTATTTTTTGTACAATTATATCAATTTGGTATTTCGATTCAACGAGGAGCAAAAGGAAACGTAGTAAAATGTATCCAGAACTCGATCGAATAAATTAGAAATTACACGTAACGAGGGAAATGAATTTCCAAAAGAACTTGCTTTCCATCCTCGTATCGTTCGAACGAAATGTTGCTCGTTTTGCTTCGCACACGAAGGACATTTGTCTCGCGAATGATCCTCGAAACTCTGGGATCAGGTAAGGACAGTCGAATCGTCGAGAGTCGTATAGTCTTCGTCGGCAAGTATCGCGTAAAGACCGAGAGAACGACGGTATAAAAGTAGACGAAAATAACTATACCCTAGATGTTTTCCCCCCTCGAAGAACGCAAATTGCGCGGGACCCGAAGAGACATCGCGTTGGATCGGTAGAGAGTTTCGTCGGTCGCGAGACGCGTCGAGGGTGACGCTTGAACCGATGGAAACCGAACGTTCGTGACGTCGAAGCAACGAGCAGGCCTCGACCGAAGGGACACGTCCGGAAGATCGGTTGATTCCTACAGACTTCAGCCGACGCGGG